CTTCCCGGCAGCATTTCTGCTAGCACCCTTGGGAGCGGTTACCTGACCCACGACGCGGCGAAGAGTTTGATCTGCTCGTACAAGAACAAAGCCCACTTCGGAGGTGCTATGATTTGGGATGCCTATTACGCTTCCACCAACAGGGACCTCGCTGGCCAGGCGTACCATGATGCTCTTGCCGAGGCGCTGAAGTGTGGTGGCTGTGATGGCGACATCTGCGCCCCCGTTGCGGTTACGAGCTCTACCGTCTCCACGTCGACCCTGACGTCTTCCATCCACTCGTCGACCATCTCCACCGTTACCAGCACCTCCACTTCCAGCGCTTCCACCAGCACCGTCACCAGCAGTGCGACTTCCAGTTCTTATGACCCCGCAATGTCGACCAGCACCAGCTCGGCTGCTACCAGCAGCACTGTAACCTCTTCGAGCGTTACCTCCAGCAGCGCTGTCTCGACAGAGACTTGCACTGATAGCACGACGAGCTTCGCTGCTACCAGCAGCACTGCCTCTTCTTCCACTGGGTCTTCTTACATCCCCACCTCCAGCAGCTCGGAATCCTCCAGTGAGACCTGCACCGACAGCACAACCAGCTCTGCCCTTATAACCTCGACCTCTAGCCTCGCCGTTTCTACCACGACATCTTCATATAGCACCTCGTCTACCTCTCCCGAAGATGACTGCGAACCCGATGACTTGACTTCCAGCTCGTACGTCGAGTCGGCTACCGTCAGCGTTTCCGCAACCACCACCGGATCAGTTTCTGCTTCCGAGACTGTCACGTCTAGCAGCTACGCAACTGTGACAACCACCGCCTTCGTTTCCGCCTCCGTTTCCGCATCCGCAAGCGTCGGCTCTTCGTCTTCTCTTACCACCAGCGCCACCACCAGCGCCGCCACCAGCGCCGCCACGACCCTCGGATATACCACGAGTACCGTCATGACAACGACGACGTATACCGTAACATCCTGTGCTCCCAGCGTGACGAACTGCCCGGCTCGAGGCTCTGTCGTGACCGAGATTATCCCACTATATACCACCGTCTGCCCAATCACTGCAGCCGGGACCCAAAAGCCTACCACGACCGAGACGACTGAAGTGCCTATGATCACTAGCACGATCTACAGCACCCGCGTCGCGACCATCACCAAGTGTCCCGCCTGGGTTACCAACTGCCCTGCCGGCTCCGTCAGTGTCACGACTCACCTCATACCCGTATCAACGACGGCGTATCCTGTGAGCGAAGCCCAGACAACGCCTATCACCACCTCAACCCCTGCTGCCGTCATCAGTGCCGCTACTAGCCCCGTCTACAGCATTAAGGTCGGCTCCGCCACCACCGAGACCGTCACCATAGGCCTAATGACCTACCCCGTCGGCAGCGGCAGCAAGACCGCTCCTGCCACCACCGCTGCTACCTCCGCGGTCACTTATTCCGCCGGCTCTGGCTCTGCTTCTGCTTCAGAATCCAAGCCCGTGTCCGTAGCCGTCGTGTCCAGCTACCCTGCCGGTAATACCCCCGGCTCCTCCAGCAGCGTCAGCGCGTACACGCCCACCACGATCCAAACCGTCGCCGTTCCCATCTACCCCACGGGCAGCGCCGGAAACAGCGCCGCGCCCGCGTACTCGAGCGCCGCCGGCACCGGCTACCCCATGAAGCCGACGACGGCCACCGGCGCCAGCTACACGTCCGTCGCGTGCAGCGGCGAGGGCTGCTCGGCGGCCTCGCCCGCCGCGTACCCGACCGCATCGGTCGTGACGGCCGGTGCGGCCAAGACGGCGACGTTCGGCGTTGCTGGTCTGTTGGCTGTGGCTGCGGCGCTTTTCTTGTAGGCTGCTTAAGGGGACGTTGGGGAATGAGGAGAGGAAGTGAGACGAGACGAGGTGAAGTAGGTGGCTATGTCGAGGACAGTTAAAAGGGTAGGGAGGAAAGTTTCAGTTGTAAATACCTTCGTGCAAGCTGCAGAGAGATTATCAAGGTGATCTATCTACCCAATTCGTCTATGTTATATGCCTGTGTTGTCCAAATAAATGGCTGGAAATGTAACCAGACCGGTGAGCATGATTCAGCAACTAGACATGCATGGATCATGACGATGCGTGGGTGGGTATCTAAGGAGCATAGCGAAAATCGAACAAGCCATAGATGAACATACCTACCATGTACCTACCTAGGTACCTATATACTTGAGGTAGACGTTAACTACTACGAGATCATCGAATTTCGCCAAACGGAATACTGCTACAATTAGAGAGGCGAGCCCATAGGTGTACGCGAGCAATTTTTAATACCCCGCGCAGAGTAGAGGTGGTCAATTAAGAGTTGATGAGAAAAGCAAAAATGAAATTTTGCATCAGCCGCGAATCGAACGCGGGGCCCATCGATGGCAACGATGGATTTTACCACTAAACCACTGATGCCTTAGATCGATATTTGGATAGTCTAACTTGATTAGCTGTAGCAAAAAATATACCCAAATTACCTCACCGGCGGACACAGCTCACGCTGGCTCCACTTGTTCAATGGCTCTGCGACCTCACACCAGACGTTTTCCCCCGACGCGTTCGCCAGCCCGAACCCGAACTCGGACAGTAACCCGGGGTCCACGGTGTATAATTTTCAATTTTCTGTTCTCTTCGTCTTTTAACCCGACTTTGGGCTTGGGCTTGATAGCTAAGCCAGTCTCCACGCCATCCCTCATGACGTACAGAAACGCCCTGGGCATCATCTTGACGATAAGGTCTAATAAGACTGCAGATGATGATCTGGGGTGGAATACGTTCTTATTCTATCATTTAGATTTATTATGCCGGTAATATCTTGCGATCAGGAAGGTAAGTGGATAAGAAAATGAGAAGGAAATTGAGATGCCTGCTACGTCGCATAGGGGTTAGAGGCGCGACAGTTTGCCGTTACCTGACAGCGTCACTTATCTGCCTACCTGGCAAACTAACGCTCGACGGGATTTACTTACATATCTCATAAGATCGACAGCTAAGAAGTAAAACTGACGGCGCAGTCGATGAGAACGTGCGAACTCATATAACAGCAATTCCGAAACTGGAAAGACCACTCGTCCACGGACTTCCGTGGGAGTGGGCATCCACTTTCCATCGCTAGAGCAGTTGGTAGTTGGTGATACCCGTGCTGTAGGAATGAGAAATCCAGAATAGGCAATCCAAGAGCCAACGGACCAATAGGAGGCACTTACAGATGCTAGGGATGACCAATCAAGGTCCCACATACTTGATTCTAATGAGTCTCTTCTTCGTGAATTAACAAGGTGTAAAGACGTTCGAAAATTTATGAGGCATATCCAGCTTGGAGCGCATTCAGAAAGCGTGTCCATTCCGAGCTCTTGCAGCGGTTGCGTTCGCAGCGGCGTCTTGTGTTAATGCTCAAACGCCGGATATGGTCGAGCAATCAACAGGCTTCAACTCCACCTTCGCTTATAAACCTCCCAGATCGAAGCAGCAAATTTGACATTGAAATGATTGATCGACTCAATGTCGTTGTTAACTTCGATCGTTCCCAGCTTGCTAATGGCGGACCAGCAGAGCATGGCTAACCAGTATCTTCTCGCCTCGACCTCGGCCCATGATGCGCTGTTCGCCATACAAGCATCCCTTGCCGCCTTTCTTGACCACCTCGACACGCTAGCAGACGGCTACCAGGGCTCAATCGCCAAAAGCCCATCAACCAACGCGTACAGCGGCACGCCGGGCTTAATATTACCGTAGGTCGGAATGATGCTCGACAGTATCTTCCCCGACTTCGAACTCAGCCGGTGGCTAGCACCCCGCGGTATCACCCAAGCCCAGCTCCTTAAACAATTCGAAGGCGGCATCGGCATCGGAACGCAGCTGTACCTCGCCGGCGAGCAGATCTACCGCGAAGACTACAACGAGACCTGGTACGCCGACGCGCACGCGCAGGGCGCAAGCCGTTCCGGGCCCCGCTGCTCGTGGTCCAGGGGACGCAGAACGTGTACATGCCGTACGAAGTGAAATCCGCGACGTTCCAGGATGCGTGCGCTGCCAGCCCGAGCGGCGACTTGGAGTATCTAGTTGGTGATGGGACGGGGTACGTGCCGACGCTGGATGCTGCGAGGCCGATCTGGCTTGAGTGGATCGAGGATCAGTTTGAAGGGCGGGCGCTGGAGAAGAGCGGGTGTATAAGGACTGATCTAGCGAGCTTCCTGTTGCTGGATCGGTACCAGAGCGTGGGGAATTCGTGTCCTCGGTTCGCTGGGTTGGCGGAGTTTAGCTATGATGTGCCTTTGGGGCTTTGTTATGTATAAGAGGGAGAGGGATGGGTAACTGACGTCGGTGGATGAAGTGTATCTTCACGATGGTGCCTTCAGGGGTTGTGTGTATCCACACGCATATTTTTCGTAAATACCTCAGCGTGGATTCTCTGTAAGTACCTAGATTAGGTATTTTAGGTCTCTGGTTCGGAACGGTGCGTATTAGGGGTTATTACCTATAGAATGAACGATATTGTAAGTTGAAATAGTGATTCTCCTTCCAATGCTCCATGCATTCCGGATATTGCCTGGGTTGGTGCTATTGAAATGCTCAAATTCCAAGAGGGCTAGTCGTAAACCTTATTTGCGTGTCATATCTTTGATTTTGACCTTGGAAAGCAGTGCTTCTCCATGGTCCAGCGTGGTTCTTCGGTTTATCTTATAACTGTACCATGTCAACGTAGGGTATTAGTTATTCCCGGGTCAATGCAAGTTAGTGGTAAAAAGGTGCGGTCTTGAAAATGTCTTATCGAAATACTATAGTACGTGATTGGGGCCGGATGGTGTTAATTAAGATGTGACGAGCTTTACATGAATGAATATATCGTAACTATACCGTATTTCTTGTCCCTGTACCTAGTAGTTCGCCGTTGGTCTGATGCCTATAGTGCCAAGGAACTTTCTCGACAGATGGGCTACACACCACAGTTACATTACTAATTTCTAACAGAAACGATGAAAGTGAAAATGATGAAGGCTGAGGTGGTCCAGTGGTATGATACCGGGACAGCAGGCCTAGCGATATGTATTACATCTCCCGACCGCAGATGCTAGGCATCATGAAGCAGCGTGGATGCTGGCACAGCGCGGGGATTAAGTGATTACCTACACCGGAGATCGCCAGTTCGAATCTGGCCCTCAGCATCTGGACATCATTTCTCTTTTTACTTCTTTTGAGAAATACCTCGAGCCACTGATTTTCTTCCGGATACTGATTTATTGAAGTATCCCATTTTCTGTACATACTTTCAACTCTCTATGTACTATCTAGTTAAGATAGGAGGTAAGATCGGATGCCCCATTGTAGTTTGTATTCGAGAATTTCCCTAATAATGACGTACACCTGACAAACACTCTATTTTCTTTGATTGATGCGCTTTGAGACGTTAAGACATGCTCTCTCAACTAGCATCAAAGGAGGCGCGAGAAATCATTGGAATATTGTGGGCAGAGCCTTATAGATCGTCGTGTGCGACGTGTTTACAATCAATGGGTAATATTCCAAGTGAAATAAAGCGCATCAAGCTTGACTTATAATTACAAGAACCTACTGTGTGACGTATTGAACTTTATAATCAAGCGATATTTAGGAACTGGTTCGCTTTGATCAGACGTATCGCCAAAGGCAAACCATCTCGGCATGCAAACCGACCCGGCGCTAATGAACGGCGAACGGGACCGTCTCGAAACGACACAAGCTCTGTTTCTAAGAGTAAAGTCTTCCAGTCACTTATACAGGGGCGAGCTTTGCACTAATAAGGTTAACATATAGGATAGACTTCTCAAGAATCCAAGATGGAAGCTTCGCTAGGACAGCTCCCTGTCAACCGAAAACGCAAGGCGGTCGAAGATGATCTGGGAGAAGGCCGTGACCACTCAGTGCTAAGTATGGCCCTCCGCGCCCCCAAATTCAAATGCTTCCTCAAGTCCAGTCTATTCTACGGCCCAAGATACATTGTCCGCTACTGCAACTCACTACCTCAAGTCACCGACCCGCTACCGAAGCGCCTGAACCTGACCTTTTTTCGAAAGTTTAATGAACTCCCGAAGCTAGTACGTCGGAACATCTGGGAACATACCTGGGAACGTCGGGATGTTTGGATTGTTCGATCTATTAAGTACACTCAAGAGGTGCAATCCGGGCCGCCCAGAAACTTTGGTGGCGACAGAGCTCGTCAAGCATGTCCAGCTCGTGAAGCGCTACTTTGGCCTCGCACCCCTCCCGAACATGCAATGGAAAGAGACCGATATGGGTTTCCAATACCGTATGTATCATCGATATTCGTTCTTTTACCCTCCCATCTGAGTTCCCTTCAAGGGCACCCGCCCAAGCGCCTAAAAACATATCTGCTAACTGCTACTGTTCCAGTGACCATCACGCGAGGGTTGTGCGTGCGACCTAAATCTCTTCATGTCAACAAGGGAGCCCGCGACTTGACAATCGATTACTACCACGAGTCTATGGGGCAGGTAAGGAGCAACTTATCTAGTAGTCCGAAAGACGGCCAAACAGGGGTTCATCTCAACTGGGATAAGTGCAGAGTGGTTCACCCTTTGCACTGCCCACTGTCGACAGCCTTCTCGCCTATGGACTCACGGCAACTTCAACGGCTCTCGATTCCCGAGCTGGGCCTGCGCCCCCCGGCTTCACTAAGATACCAGGGCCGTGGAGTAACGACAGCATCAACTTCCCGAAAGACGAATACCTCGAAGCGGGAGGTGTGCTCCTTATCCCAGAGTTCATGACGGTCTGGCGCAAGTCGACGAGGTTTGCCACGCATGCCTCGACATACAGGAAACCTTCCGGCGCTGTCTCTCGGCAGGATGGGATGAGGACTGGCTCGACGAGACCGAGTCCACCTACCAACGCCTGCTCGACTGGAACAACATCGAGCAGCCCGTATACATGGAGAAGACGCTGGTCACCGGCATCGTGCTTGCGAGTCGGTATAATACCTCAAGCGGAAGCATCATATCTTACCAACGTGTTCGAGAGTTGTTCATACTAGGGAGATGGTAGTCGGTTTCGGGAAGGGGCTTTTCGGTGGTCAGTTTTATTTTTCTTCTGTTATGTAGATAGTGGCATACGCCAGACAATATAGGTCGGGGTATATTCAAGGTCTCTTAAACCCGCACATCAAACCACCTAATCTAAGGCGAGAAATCTGTACCTCGAGCCCCAAAAGAATCATTCCGAACATGCGGACTGAAAGGCTGGGCACCACGGTGGCATAATATAAAGGGGTGGCAATTTACTCTGATTATGACCCTATACCCTATACATTCTTCCGGTATGGAAAGCTGGCCTGTCAAATATCAATCCTCGTCCTGCCTGGGATAAGTCCCATTACTTTCCAACGAATTCCTACCACCATGATAGTAGAGATTCTTCGGATAGATTCGGTTCGTAAAAAATACTGCCGAGACCGACATGTGTTTTACCAAGCCGTTAGACTTACTAGCCCATATGTTTATTCTATTTTGTCAAACATATACGTATGGCGGTAAGTAATATCGAGAGAGAAGCACCTACCAGTGTAACCATAGCGCCCCTTTAAGCGCCATACTTCTTGCCTAGCAACCATATGCACATTGATACATGTGGTCAGTTGACCAATTCACGGTGTTTACGTCATGAATCCGTGTATCGCTTGCCTGAATGAAGTACTACCTAGGTAATAGATGTGTTACAGATATCGCTCAGTTGCCTAGGAACGGAGGTTGCTGCCGCAAACCCAGGTAACAAACGCAAATGTTAACCTGTCTTCCTAATACATGAACCCAAACGCGTAAACGGTGGGCACGTAAACATTTGAGTGCAGGATTAGACACTTACTCTATTGTTTATAAGTGAACGCTTTCCGCAATCAGCAAACGTCCCGCGCACAACACGCAGCACAATCCTATTTATTGTGTCTACCATCCATCCACCGCGTCCTGCCTTGTCACACCAATCGTCGCTGTCTTCTCTTGCATCGAGCTAACTTTCAAAGCTCAATATTCTGCATAGCTGGTAAGTGATGTATCTTCTTCAATCCAACTCCCCTCCACCCTCCCGCGCGTCTACTTCGATACTGGCCTCTATCGTGTACGATACGACCAAGGAGATGAGCTCCGAAAATTTTAACTAAAGGTCGCTTCTACACATTCATTGCCTTTCTGGTCTTTGTACTGTATCACCGTGTCTCGTACCTTCTACTGCTCAGCATTGGCCCATGCACATCACTTTTATCTTTCAGTGCGGCTTACTCTACAGCTACCGAGACATGAATGGAAAATCTTCAATCTCATTATACTAACCAATCATCAAAGGTAGGCAACCTTCTTTATTCAGATATCCAAGTTGCCCCGACAGGCCGCACTGTCGGAAACCACCAACGATGCCTATGTTGGAGGATCCCAAGCCCTTGCCGGACCCTGCGCCATCCGACTTTTCTCCTGGCCCGATGTTCGTTACCAACACCATTCCGGACATCTCGCCGAACGCCGGCGTGGTTGGTCTCTGCCCTGTGCCTGCCGACCGCGCTGGTATGGACGACCTTGGTTGGCACGTCGTCGACTTCCTGGCCTTCAGGGCACTTTTTCGCGGCGAAGTCGTACTCAAGGCCCAAACCTGGCTGGCCCAGTGTGATATCGCTGAGATTGTTCGGTCTGATCCCGGACAGTTTGCCCATGGCAAGGAGCGTCGACTAGTTTCTGTAGCCGCCGAGGCCTCCTCTGCAACCAATAGCAAAGGGGTCCAATATCTTCGAGAGGATCACATCAAGGTCGAGCAATCCGTCTCGAAGCTTAAAGAAGAGTTCCTCAAAACCCTGTCAGCCAAAGCTAAGATCGCCGAAAAGAACGGATTTCCTCTTTTCATCATTGTCTGCGGACTTACCACCTTGGAGCAAGACATTTTCTTCGGGGCGACCAATTCTGATGCCCGGCTGACGAGTATCGATATCCGTCGCTCCATTGGTAACAACATCGATGTCACAATGATTACACCTGCTCTCTTTTCTGCCGGCTGGCAGATTAACCCTGCCTTTTCTCGACGCCCCCACTGGGGAATGCGTGCCGGACGTGTGGAGTTCTTCGCCAGGCAGTTTGGTGCCGTCTTTGCGAGCGACATCATCCCAAGTTTCGAGAAATGGACATGTCCATTCCTTGATACAAACCAGTTGGATGAAGGTGCCAAGAGCGATAGGTTCCTTGGCCCAGTAATGCCCTCGGAGGAGCAGAGAAAGCTGAGCGAGGCGCTGAAGGTGAAGCTGCACAGTACTCTCGCTGGTCGATTGTCTCCCGGGCATTGGGATCATTCTTTCGACTTTGGTGACGAGTCTGACAACTGGCTTACGCTCGTGGGGCCCCGAGTCAACAAACCGCTTTCGTATTGGCGGAAGAAATGGGAACTCTTTGGGGCCGATGATGGCTATACAAGAGAGGAAGAACACCTTTACTTCCTGGGCAATGCCTTTGGCGGTAATATCCGCTCGCAGGTCAACCATATAAAGGATCTGATAGCGGAGTCCATGGTGGCCTGTCCCGACTATTGGTCATCTATGTTTGGCCGAAAAGCCGCAGCGCAGTTCAGAAAGTTCATGATCGATCCATCTCCCGAGCACGCACAGTGCCACGAGATGTTCAACATTATGGAACACCGAGCAAGTTCTGTCATCCTCGCAGACTCGATTTGCGACTATCTCGCCCTCCCAAAGCCACACGACGAGCGATGCAGAGACTGGCCTGAGCGAGCATTCAAGAATGCAGCTGCTCTGGATGTGCGCATGGACATTATCCACGCTCAAGGCAAGGTCACAAAAATCATCCCGGGTGTGTACCTTCCTCCCGGAATTAACTTCAACCATCTGAGCGTGACGCAAAGGAGCCTCGAGGTGCCAGCCACATATCTAGCCGTGTCTCTGTGTCTGGGCATCCCCGCCCGCGAAGAGGTGGGAGCCATTATGCCTCGAATCGAAGACTGTAAGCATCAACATGGACTACGAATATGTACCATTACTAATGTATATTTACCTAGTTTTCACAACAGTCAAGACCCTCCAGACTGAACTACTCCTCAAGAACAAAGAGTGTGAGAAGGCGTGTGTTGCGTGGCTCAACTCCATTAATATGCCAACCCGTTCCCTACGCCATGCTCTATC